TTCGACACCCTTTGTTCTGCAGAATGGCCACCTTCGGAGTCGGATGGCCCATTCAAGGTTCCCTCTCCCTAGACCTGATCACTAAGGTCAAGGCTGTCGTTTTCCGACCAGGCAATCAAGGCCACCCAGATCAGGTCCCCTACATTTTGGTTTGGGAAGATTTAGCGGGGAACCTCCCCCCTTGGTTAACAGCTTTTCTGACTCACCCCTCCAGTTCGGCTCCGGGGCTAAAACCCAGTCATACGCCTGCCTTGGTCATAAAAGAGGAAGAGAAACCTCCCTTCCTCCCTGACCAGTCCCTCAAAATAGGACACCCTCTTTACCACCCCGGTCTTACTGGAGAGTTCCCCCCTTTACCCATCCCTCACGGGGGTAGAGGAAGATCGGCCGCCCCCATACGTGACTCCCCCTGGTCAGGCCAGTGCTCCGGAGGAGGAAATTTCCTCATCCTCCTCAACAGGACCGACGGCCGGAGGAGGAATGGGTCGAAGACTCCACCCCCGAGGGGTACGGGAAAGGGGGGAGAAGATGGGCCCTCCTCATCAACACAGGGGAGGAAACTGTCCCCATTTCCAGTCCGGATGGAGGCCAAGGAGGACCAGGAGGGGGGCAACAGTTTCAGTACTGGCCCTTCTCCTCCAGTGATCTATATAACTGGAGGACGCAGAACCCACCCTTTTCAGAAGACCCTAAGTGTCTCATAGATCTCCTGGAGTCCGTCATGCATACACACCGCCCCACATGGGATGACTGTCACCAGCTGCTCAATACTCTTTTTACGACGGAGGAGCGGGAGCGCATCCTCCACAGCTAGAAAGAACGTCTTGGGGGACAACGGGAGATCCACAACCCTCCACCGGCCATAGATGAGGCCTTCCCCTACGCCGCCTGATTGGGATTTCGGGACTGCAGAAGGTAGGGAGCGTCTCCGAATCTACCGCCAGACTCTTATGGCAGGTCTCCGAGCGGCGCTAGGAGCCCACCAACTTTGCAAAGGTAAAGGCAGTTGTCAAGGGGAAAATGAAAGCCTTGCCAGTTTCTTAGAGGCCTCTGTGAGGCATACCGTCAGTACATCCCTATTGACCCCGAGGCGGAGATCCACCGGTCTGCTGTGGTATTCTCATTCATTAATCAGGCAGCTCCAGACATTAGGAGAAAACTCAATAAACAGGAAAACTTAGGGGAGATATTAGGGAAATGTTACAGATAGCGGAGAAGGTCTTTACCGCAAGGGAAACTCCAGAAGAAAAGGAGGAAAGGCGGAGAAAGGAAGACAGGGAGGCCCAGGAGAAATTGAGAAAGGAGGACAGGGAGTTCCAGGCTAAGGAGAACCGAAAGCAACAAAGAGAAATGGCCTGTTATTTTTCCTAGCGGATGTCCGGACCAACCCAGGGAAGGGAGCCACGCCAGGACCCCAGATAAGGAACACTTTTTACTGTAAGGGAACTGGGCATTGGAAGAGAGAGTGCCCTAAGTTAAAGGGAAGAAGAGGGTTTGGCAGGAGACCGGGAGGTAACAGGGAAAGGGAACGAGCAGTGGAGCAGGCCAGAGTCCTTCTAGCCAGAGAGAGAAACTGAGGGAGACGGGGCTCGGACCCCCTCCCCCGAGTCTTGGGTAACTGTATGTGTGGAGGGGAAGCCGATGGGGTTCATGGTGGACACCGGTCCCAGTATTCGGTCTTAAACAAGGCATGTGGACCTTTGAACAAGGAACGAACAAGTGTCGTTCAGGGGGCCACGGGCAGTTATTGCTCGCGACTACTACAAAAAGAAAGGTAGACTTAGGAAACCACACCAGTCACACACTCCTTCCTGGTCGTCCCTGAGAGCCGCTCCCTTGCTCGGACGGACCTGCTCACCAAAGTAGGGGCCCGTATCTATTTTGAACCAGATGAAATAATTGTGACTGATCGGGAGGGGAGCCCGATACACGTCCTGTCCCTATCATTGGCTGACAAATATCGACTGTTTGAGAGCCTGACAGGAGCCAGGGGGACATAGCCCAATGGCTAAAAAGGTTTCCCATGGCCTGGCAGAGACTGTGGGAATTGGCCTCGCCAAACACCTCCCTCCTGTAGTTATACAATTGAAGGCTTCCGCTCTTCCCATTCGGTAAAACAGTACCTATGCCCAAAGAGGCTCGAAGAGGCATAGCCCCTCATATCCGCAGGCTAATAAAGGAAGGAGTACTGCAGCCTTGTCGGTCCGCCTGGAATACTCCTCTGCTCCCCGTCCAAAAGCCAGGAAGTGGGGACTATAGGCCTGTGCAAGACCCTGCGAAAGGTAAATGAGCGGGCGGAGAACATTCATCCCACTGTACCGAATCCCTATCCTTGCTCAGTCACCTACCGCCCTCACAAGTATGGATATACAACCCTTGATTTGAAAGATGCTTTCTTCACACTCTCATTGTCCAGAAATCAGCCAGCCGCTAGTTGCATTCGAATGGCAAGAGGATGGGGGCGGACCGCAGCTCACTTGGACCAGACTGCCAAAGGATTTAAAACATTCTCCCACCCTGTTTAACGAGGACCTCTGAGCCAGGACCTGGAGACCCCTTTTCGCCGGAGTCACCCGATCAACTCTACTACAGTACGTTTGATGACTTACGTGTTAGTGGATGAAACACCGAAGAGGAGTGTGCAGCGAGGCTACTGAACACCTGCTAACGGAGTTAGGTGAGCTGGATATGGGCGAGTGCCAAGAAGACCCACATCTGTGAAAGTCAGTGACATATCTGGGTTATTGGATCGCAGATGGGGCAAGATGGCTGACTGATGCCATGAAACAGACTATTTTGACTATTCCACCCCCCACATCCACTAGGGCAGTGAGAGAAGTTTCCTGGCTCTGCAGGTTCTGTAGACTCTGGATTCCCGGGATTTGCGGAGATAGCCAGACCCTATATGAAGGCCACCAAAGAGGCCTCCAGATTGGGGTGGGGAGAGGAACACAGCGGGCCTTTGACCAGCTAAAGGCCGCTTCTCCAGGCCCCTGCTTGACATCTACCAGACCCCACAAAATCGTTCACTCTGTTTGTGGATGAAAAAAGGGGGTAGCCAAAGGGTCCTGGCCAACAGTTAGTTCCCTGGAAGAGACCCGTGGCATTCTTTCCAAGAAATTAGACGCAGTAGCATCAGATGGCCCCCCTGCTCCGCATCATATTGTGCGTTGCCATGTTAGTGAGAGAAGCAGACAAATTAACCTTTGAGCAGGCCCTCTGGGTCACGGCCCTCACCGGTGGAGGGAGTCCTTAAACAACCCCCTGGAAATGGATGACGAATGCCAGGCTCACCCACTACCAGGGGCTCTTGCTGGATTCCCCTCGGATCACCTTCACAGATCCCGTAGATTAAACCCTGCCACACTGGTTGCCAAGCCTGGAACTACAGACACCTGTCATGAACTTGCAAGGACTTTCCTTCCGAAGTGTTCCCAGGTACGGGTTGACTAAAGGACCCCCCACTGTCCGGCTGTAAAATTAAACTGGTA